TGAAGGGGACTCTCAGGTGGTAACCAGGTGGCTCCGAAACTTGGATACCACACCATTTGGGGCTACAAAGATCTCATCAAAAAAGTAAAGTGGTTAACCAGTAATATGAGAGTTGAGGTAAAATGGGTTAGTAGGTCTGCTAATTCTTTGGTTGATGCTTTAGCCAAACAGGGGGTTTCTAGGGAAGATCTTTTTTGTGCTTCTATCTAAGTTGTTATTAATTTGAAAATCTGTACTTAACTAGCCCGGAGAGGTTGCAACTTGTACCTTTCCTTGAGGACTTTGTACTATTGTCTATTGCTGTTTTATAAAATCATTTCAATTATCAAAAAAAAAAAAAAATTCTGCTGTGGGCCTTCAATCTTCCTTTTGTATAAAAGTTCTTTCTTATGGTAATTGTTAATATGCTAGATTTTATTACTGATTATAAAATATGATGTATAAACAATAGTTGAAAAGAAGACCAAAGAAGAATGATGGCATTTGAAGATAGTGCAATTTTTAGAAATAAAAACAATAATTTTTTTTTCATTTTTAGACAAGATTCCATGATAAGAAAGAAACTGAATACTGATGGAGGGTGTTATAATGCTACTATAGCATGTGGTGGACCACCTAAGCAGGTAGTTTAGAAGATGAAACTGGTTTTAATTATTCTACTATCCACCAGATTCATTACCATTGGCAGAAAAAGCATTTTGAGTCTTATTCAAATTTCTATTCAACTCTCTACAGCCCAAAAGTGACCAGTGATAAGTTGGATGTTCTAATATTTGTTAATCCCTCTCCCTCGAGGTAAATTTTGTACACCCCAGTCTCATGGTGAAAAGACCTTCCTGCACTCATAACAAGTGTTGTGTACCATTGGGCTCATCCTCTATTGATGGATTCTCCTAGAGAAGAATTGTAGTTACCAACAAGCTCTTGTTTATAGATGGTCCATGTTTCACTTGTAGAAATTAAATTTGATATCCATTATGACGGTGGAAAAAACGCAGAAGGGATGTTCAGCCTCAAGTTTATAGCTCCTAGAGGTGTTGTGGATATGCTTACTGCTTAGATAATGGAAGAAATCATGCAGGCTTAGGGACAGAATGCACTGGAAGGCCATTGTTCATGTTGCTATATTGGAACTTGGGAGGAAGAAAGAAATCTGGTTGAGATTCTACATCCTTACCCAAGTATATTCAAGGATTTCTCATGTAGGATGGGTTTGGAGTCCTACAAATTTTAGATCAGGTGGCCAGCTTTGTGGGTGGAGGGTCTCTGGGTGATTAAGAATGAATAATAGGGATGAGGAAGCAATTAGACAGTTTGTTGTCCACCAAAGAATGAGCAGAAACTTAGAGATAAGTCAATTAAGAGGAGGAAATAGGAGTGACAGGGAAAAAAGAGAATTTTCTGGCAACAACTAGAAAACACTAAACCAAACTTTATTTCTTCAAATCAACTTTTTCTTAAATTGCTATGATAATGACTCAATTTATAGACTCAAATTTTGAACTAAGATGTCCCTTACAGTATTTGATTTTGACTAGGAACTGACCCAAATCAACTTTTAATTGCTTTAGAACTAAAAAACAAATCCAGTAGTAACTTGGGATGCTCAAATAAGGACACTCAACTTACAAACTCAGCTGCAGGATTACTCAAGTTTTTTTTTTTTTTTCTGTTTATGTTTATCATTGTTGTAATGCATTTGTTTAGCCAAAAGTTGGCCTAGTGGTGATGAAAGCAATGTTATTGTGTTGCACAATGTACACTTAAACGGTATATGTTTTATGGTACAAAGTATAGCAAACTCAATTAATCCTGCTTCCCATGTATCATGTTGATTAGAAGCACGATAATTCATCAAATGAGGGGAAGACAATTGGGCATATCTGTAAGGCAGCACTTTATTATGTCCTACATCATATAGGGCTTTGTGAAAATACATTACCGAACATACAATTATCTGTTTGTATTTCTACATGCCCATGCTTGTCTTGCTGATCTTCATCCTTGTTACAGATTTTAGGAGATGGAAAATTGAGTGTGCCTTCTCAAAATCAGCAAAAGAGAATCTAGAGTCTTCTCTCTCTCTCTCTCTGCTGCCACTGACCCTGCTTCTGTTTGAGCTACGTCGACACTTGACAACATCATGTCAACCTGTTTCTTGATTTTTACGAAAATGAGAAGCAGCCCGGCTTTTTTACTCATCCTCTAAATGAAAGTCCTTACCATCTCACACTCTGTTTTCCCGGAGATTCTTCTGAGATGGAACTCCATGACTCCATCCTGAATGGTTGTTTGATTTCAGAAATCACATGTACTTTCATTTTTAATCTCTTCAACCATTTCCATAATATGCTGCATCAACTGGAACTCAAATGGATATTCCCATCTCAGTTCTGCACTTGCAAACCTACTACTATAGTATAAACTGTCAAGGTCCTCAAAGACTTTCAAGCTATGTTTTCATTGATATTTGAAAATGGAAATAAAAATACACAAATTTCTGTATTCTGCTCAACAGATATTGCAGAATAACCCGGTAAACAATTAAGGCCAAGGAGATGAAATTCATTCAAATGAGTGATACTCATCCTTCTTATCCCTAGCATCGTCTAATGGATAAGAAAAGAACCAAGAAAAAGTGATAGGCTCCGAGATCCACCGACTCGCAGCATAAGAACTAAGAACCAAGGAAAAATGCTATCCCCAGTAAATGCATTTTGAGGGTCGTATGTTCACTTTGTTATTAACTTATTGCTTTTAGATCATACCACCGGAGGTAGGGGTGTCAATGTATTGAAAATCTGATTTCGTATTTGAGATTCAATCAGATTTCAATATGACCTGATTAGATTCGATCATTTTTAATTCTTATATAATATATAAAATATCTAAATATTTTATATCTAAATTCATAGTCGAACCCTATATATAATTTATATTTATAATATTTTAATTATATAAATAATTTATATACATTTATATAAATAAAATATTTATTAATTACCTAAAATAATTAAACGGTTGAATTCAAATGGAATCAATTATTTGAATATTTAATTGAATTTGGATATCAAATTTTTTAAGATATTTAATTCGATCTGAATTCAATCTGTTACACCCGAAACTGGAGGGGATACTAATTCCTGTGGACATTAGATAAGAACCGTGTTGAGGGTCTAATAGAATGCTTTGAGGGAGATGTCTGTTGGGTTGTCAGGATTCATTCAGTTGTGGCTAGTGTGACATGATTTCCATACTTGCTTGATTAGGGTTTTTTAATTGTTTGCAAAAGAAAAAGTGATTTGTCATATCTCGTGCAGTTGACCTATTTCAGTTTTGTTGAAAGTTGAAAGAGAACAAACGATGCCTGAACTTTTTGTGAATGCTCTATTGCAGCCAACACCTAGTGATATTGTGATGTTGATATTTGACCAGAAGACAAGTAGACAACTACTCTTTTGTGGGAGACTGGGAGGAAGCAGTAGCAATAGGCCCAGCCGCGCCTGGGTGCTGTTCATGTTCGTGGGAAGCGAGCCAGACCTTGTAAATAGGGATGGAAGTGTGAAGTGCATTGTAAATAGGGATGGATTCGAGCCGAGCTAAGCAGAATAGTATCAGGTTTGAGCTTGGCTTGAGACTATTTTATAAGGCTCGAGTTTGAGTTCGAGTTCGGTTCGAGTCAAAAGTTCATAAGCTCGAGCTCGGTTCGACTTGTTTTATATTTTATTATACATGTTATAAATATCTTTTTATAAAAATAAAAATTATATATAATTTTTTTTATTTTATATTTAAAAAATTAAGAATTATAATATTTTTATTATATATATTAAATATCAAATATATATAGATATATTATTATATATATCTATAATTTTATTATATATATATATATATATTTGAGCCGGCTCACGAGCTTGAATTGGGCTCGCGAGCCTCGACTCATTTAATAATTGAGCCACTGAATTGGACTCGGCTGAAACCGAGACAAACCAAGCTTGAACAACTTGTGAAAAGCTCAGCTCATTGTTACCCCTAATTGTAATCCCAACGCCAGGGTCAGACTCTCAGACACTCCACAAAATAATTAAAGGATTATTAATAAAGGCAGAGAGAAGAGAGGTGGTTCGTTCAAATGTTCAATTGAAGACCAACTGAGAAGTGAGAACCCATGCAGAATGGATAAAGCATATCAGATTGGCGCACAACTGGATGAAGTGCGGTCTACGGGCTTGGGTGCCCATCTAAATTTCTTCAATGGATCGAGTTTGAAGGACCCAAGTGGGAGATTAATTGGAGATGGAGGCTCAAAAAGGCTGATTAATGGACACCCAAAAAGAGAGATCCATAATCCATTCTAACTTGACAACGACGAGAGAACATCACTGGCAGAAACAAGGAAACTGCATCGACCTATGCAAATGGGAAACCGAAGGAGTTCAACTTCAGTCAGTACAAAACCCCACCCGTTCAAACACCTATTACAGCCTTGCATTGGGAATATTTCCGTATGTATATGATTTATGTCACGGGGAGATATTCCCAATGTAAGGTTGGAAGAGGCTGTTCGAACGATGTGTGCCCTGAACTGATTAAAGTCGATCTCAAACGGAAGAAGTAACCTGAGCCTCTGAGGTCAGCACTCAGCATCTTCTTCCAACGAAAAGAAGCAATCAGTTGATGGCGATAATTAATGTTTTCTATCTTTTTAAATTAAACTGCAATTAACCCGATTCCCTTAAGCTTCAACTGTGGCCTATCAATAGAATAGGGATTGTTGGATTTTAATCTTATAAGAGATTAAATCTAATGGGTTTGATTGGTCAATTACATGAGAAATTGCACCTGCACACTTGATTGAAAAATTAGTTTTTCTCTTACAAAACCCAATTTTGAACTTGTCCCACATTGGAAAATTGTAAGATTTGTTTCCAATATTTTAATAGGAGCTGATTTACACCTTATAAATAGTAGAGGAGAGTATGGTGGTTTGATACTGCGCAACGCGCGCGCACGCGTGTGTGTGGCGCAATGAAGCGCACTTTGCTCGCACCCACGTGGCTCGTGAAGAGCGGCTTTGGTTTTGGTGCGATACTGACCGTTGATGAGATCAACGGTCACGATTCGATCGGGTGTGATCAAGAGGCACAATTCAAAGTTAACAGTCATTAAACTGTTAACTACTTTTTAAACAGTCACAATGTTTGAAATTGTGACTGTTCAAGGTGCCTTCTCTAAACCCTACCTTTTCTTCATAACTCTTCATAAACTATTTAAGGAGCATGAATCAGACTCCAAAAACACACACTTTCGAAATCCACTTTCTCTCTCTCTCTCTCTCAGTCCGGTCTGCTACAGTCTCACAGAAGGTTTCTCCAGAGATTCTTCAACTTTGTTGGTTGCATATTCTCGCCCAAGGTTCTGTTGTATCCTGGGAACGGATTTGCCTGTAACCCAACAGTAAACTCGGTGAAACTGAGTGGAGGCAAATAACATTCTAAAGACAATATCTTCAAATACGTCTCAAAACTTCTTCTCCAAAGTTACAATAACCCCATTTTTTCAATAGGGATTAGTATTTTCACATTTTGTATTGAATTGAGACTTGAGAGGTGGGCCGTGGGCTCATGCTTGGGCTTGGCTTGTTGTTCGCCCAAGGATTTGCAGGCAGGGCTCTGATTCTGATTCAACTTGAATTAGGTGAAGGAAAGGTTAGATAAAGAAATCATGACTTTTGTTTTTTTTTCCTAAATCTAATTATTATTATCTTCCAAGAAAGAGTCACTTAGAAGAACAAATATCCCAAGGAGGCAAACGGGAACACGTGCCGGTGCCAATATGAATATTGATGGAACAGCAAAAGGTGTTCTCTTTTTGTAAGCAATGTCAATTATTTGGTGAGATGGGTCTTTCTACTTTTCTTTTCCTCTTCCTCGCAATAGGGAAAGCAACTGCAAGCCGCTGGAGCAGTACTACTATTTATAATTAATTTGACTAATTTTTAACTTTCTAATGTCATTATCATTAACTCGGCACACTTTTACTAACTACTATCATTAAGTGAGTCTTCTTTTTTTTATTTTGAGATGAGGAAAGTTGGTTAATGTGTTTTTGGTTTTCATTGATTAAGAATCTCATGTTGTTTTTTTTAGATTTATGTAGGGACCAAGAAAAGTTTATTTTCTTAGGTATCATTTATCTGGGTAAGTGATACCAATCTTCTAGGTGAGTAAATAACTTTCTCATCCAGAGGAAAAATTGCCGACACTTGAATTGGATAAAAATACCCCTTTTAATAATGAATTTTTATAGCTAAAACGATCATTTCTTTATTTACATGAGAAATAAAAGAATATGGATAAATGCACTTACCTGAATAAGTGTTTTCCAAGAAAAACTTGTCTAAATAATTACATTTACCCGAAGAAATAACTTACTGAAAAACGAATTGGACCTAATTATTTGTTTTTTTTTTTTCCAATGCTTTGTCTAACATGGCATTCAATCAAGTTGATTAACATCCGTACCAAAGGATATAGCAAAACTTTGCAAAGATTAGGGATTTTCCTGCATGTAACAAATTTTAGGGTTGCAAGTCAATCAGATTTGAATGGGATGTACCTGTATCCAAATTTGGTCCTTTAACATTTGGATTCAAACCAAATCTTATCCGCCTGATTCAGATTAGACTTGGATTTGTAATACAAATGTATTTGCATTAGTGCAAATACATGGTAACACAAATGAAATGAGTGCAATACAACCACATAAAAAAGAGGGTAAAATCCGAAACAAAACAAAACCTAAATTTGCTCTCTATTCATTAGCACTTTCATACTTTAATTCTCACAGATGAATTTGCAGTAGGAGACCTTGGCACTTTCAATATAACCAGTAGGAGATCATACCAACCATCCGGTTGGCACCTTGCGGTAAAGATGAATTTGCAGTGCAAACAAACAATATTGTCGTGGTTAATTTTTGAGTTGTTTAAAAAAAAAAATGAAACTTGTCAATGGATCAAGTTCCCGTTTGGCATGAGTTAATATTTTTTTCATCTTTCTTCATTCAAAGGGAAACAAAAAGTAGTAAAGCAACGATTTAGTATAAAGTTTGAAAGGCCCCTGTGAGATATCTTTGTCTACCAATACATCAAGAGCAACCCACCCTATCTTACGCCCACAAAATTAGATTGGATAAGGGGAATGGAGTTTTTTAGTTTGAACAATTATAATTCATCTTGATACAATCTGGACCAGCTCCATTGATGTAACTTATTGCAGTATGACTTTTAAATTCCATGTGTCTGTACCAACAACTACATTTTCTCAATTCAACATCCCAATTGTTAATTAGCTAAAAGAGAAAAAGGGAATTGTCTAGCGTCATTTGCGGGATATGGAATTTATAATACAAGGGTTCTTTGTCATATAGCTTGCTGACGGAAAATCCTAGCTTTCTTGGTTGGACTCTCCAATTAGCTCCACTCCAGT